TTATCATTATTATTATTATTATTATTATTATTTCTTAATTTGCTACAGGGCACACGCACTCACCAGAGAAAGGAAAAGAAAGTGAGAAAGCAAGCTTCTAGGTCTGGCACTTGAACCATGGTCAATCTTGTAGGAGTCCAGCACCTTAACTGCCATGCCACTTACTGGTCCACAAGCTGGTTTTTAAACCATTTATAGCTTGAAATCTGGTTGTAGTGGGGATACTTTCACCACAAAAATTGGCAAGTACTATGAATAAGTGTTTTTTTCCCTTCGAACAAACTGGTTTACTAGTCTGCTACTGCCTCCATGCTGTTCTGGTCTAGTCACAGGGTTCTGCCAGAGGCAGGAAGAGCATTAAGTTAGAGAACTTCAAACCAAAGCCCATTTACAGCAGTCCTCCAGAAACTCGGCTCTTACAAGGGGAGTAAGGGTAGCCCTTTCAGAGACCAGAAGTGGGACCGTGTCTGGTGGCACTCAGCAAACTGTGGCCACAAGCCAGACTTCCGTAGGGAGGACAGCCCAGCTGTCCCCTTCCCTGCAGTTGGCTTCTCCAGCTGCCTGGCTATTGCAGTCGCAGGAAGTGGGCAGAGAAGATATGCTAGGATTAAGGATCACAAACATGAGACCAAAATGAACGTGGTCTGAGTGCGTGGTCTGAGTGCTGACCTGACGTGGTGGGGCAAGTACTCTACCCACCAGTTGTATGCCCCAGTCCTTAGATGAGTAGCCTCTGAGGTATAGACAGAGAGAAACTGGGTCATCTGGAAACCCCAAAAGACTCCCCTTCAGGTTCTCCTCATTATCCTTTATCTTGTAGGGAATAAGACCCCAGGAAGCCTGCAGCTGGCTTTTGCTGTCCCCTGACTTCTCTGGGCAGGTAGCTGAGGGTAGCTTTATATCACATCCTTAGCAAGTAGGCCCAGTTGTCTGCACAGACTTGTTGTGGGTATCCTGTTTGGCCCACGTATCGCTCTCTATAGTTGAAGTCTTGGGTTACCCCAAGCCCTGAGTTTCTCTCAGGTATGCCTTCCTCGGAAGGTAGTGGGGCCGCTCTTGCATGGGTTAGAGACATGCACACGTGCTTCATTTCCTTGGGTTTCTCATGAAGACATGGTGTTCTGTGGTGTCGTGCTCTTGGCCTGACCTGCTGCCTCTCCCTCTCCCCCCAGCCTGCCTTTTCACCTTGTCTCTGGATGGAGCAGGACCTCTGACTTCCCTGGCTGTTGGTGACACCATCTCCTTACTGTGTGCAAGTTTCAGAAAAGGAATTCACTTACTCAGAGTGGACTACAGCCGAGGGCTGGAACTGCGGGAAGTGGCAGCATTCTGAGGCCAAGAGGTGTTCACTGGATCATGTCAAACTGTGGCTTCTCCTTTCTTAGTATGTCTTTGTGTCTTTTCACAGGGTCTTGTGGAGTTGGTCATCTTGCTTAGGTTTCACTTAGAAGGTCTTCAGTGTTAGGAGTCAGCTGAAGTCTAGTGGTTCAAAGCCAGGTAAAGAAACATGGACTAAACGTAGGTTCTCAGTCTAGATAGACTAAGTTTAAATGCAATTTTGTTGTTTGTTTGTTTGTTTGTTTAATTTGCTGTAGGGCATGTGTGCTCACAGAGACAGACAGAAGGCACCCACAGAGGGGGATGACCACTGCAATCACTTCTCCATCCTCCTCTCAGAATTTTGGGCATGCATGTGCCCGGTATGTTTTTCAAGCTGCCAGGTCCAGGACTCGAGCCATACAGTCAGTCATGTGGGATCCAGCACCTTAACCACCACACCACCTGGCTGGCCCCAAATAGGTTGTTTTCCCCTCAAAAGCTCACTCTGAGAAAAAAATGTATCAATCCAAATGATGCCCTGTACTGTGAGAATGGTAGGCCTCTGTGGGGATCAGAACATGGTATGAGTCCAGTGAGCTGGCCTTTTCCAGGCCTCCCCTTGACAAAAGAAAAAAAGGCAGTGGGGCAGGAAACTCTTTTGGTTACCTCAGAAGTAATGGAGATGGGAAAGAATAACGCACCTCCATAGATGAAATGGGTGTAGACCTAGAGATTAAGCTACAATCACTGTTCCCCAATGCCTCAGCGAAGTGAAGAATCAGTTAGGACAAGAAAACAACACCCTTGGCTTCTACTCAGAGTGGTAGCGGGTGGGAGGCCGTGAGTCCTGGCTGTTCTGGGTACGCCCTAGGCCAGTGCCGCTGAGGTTGTATGAACAGAAGCCCTGAGAGGGCTTGAAGTGGCTGCCATGCACAGGGCATTGCCCAGAATTGTAGGCTGTTGCCTCTGTTTTAAGGATAAGAGAACAGAGAGGTTCACAAACTAAGGCTAAAAAGATTTCATTGTAATTAAAAAAAAAAAAAAGAATTGCCAGAGGGTGCATGTGCTCTCCAGAGAGAGACAGACAGACAGAGAGGGAGAAAGCACCTCCCTGCATTGGGTGTGGTCTCACTGCAGTCCCTTCTTCATTCCTTCATCTTTTGGCATGTACACACATGCATTTGGCATGGTTTTCAAGTCACAGGGCTGAGGTTAGAACCTCACAGTTGGCCATGTGGGATTTGGCTCCCTCACCCACCAGGCCATGGGGCCAGCCCTTCATTTACAATTTTAATATTTGTATGTAATTTACATACATTCAGTTGTATGTAAATAAAACATTATACATACACACACACATATATATATACACACTTACAAGCACACACACACACACATACATACATACATGCCTGGCATACTCAAGGATCCCTGAGCATAAACCAAATATATATATATAATCTCCAGAGCAAGGCAAAGGGAATTTCTGAATTAACAACAGAACATATAGAAAAAAAAGCAGACGAGTAGAGTCAGCTGTGCCCTAACCATGAGCCCCCAAGTAAGGAGGGGCAGGTCCCCAGTCCTACCTATGTGGCCCCTGGGAGTCAGTTCCTACCTAGTGCTCACTAGTGCATTTTCCTTCAGGAAAAATAATCTCCTGCCTTCTTCTAAGCCCATGCATATGGCACCTGAGACCTGGAGATTCCCTTTCTGATAAGTCCCAGCCAAAGAATGAGTTTGCATTTGTCTTCTCTGACCTCTGCCCATCCCTAACATTGTGGCTCAAGCCATCTTCCTTGTTTACCTCCTGCTCCTCTTTAGGCCCAATTCTTCCCCGACACTGTCTACAGGGACAGAGAAAAAAGCTGTCTTTAAACTAGTACAATCAGACCTGAGTTTAATCTCCACTTCTCCATTCAGTTGGACGATCTTGGGCAAATTATAAAATCTCACTTGTAATATGAGGCTCATAATGATACCTCTCTCTCAGCTGTTCTAAGGACTGCACATAGTGATATTAGATGCCAAGCAAGGTGGTAGGTGCAGACAAATGGTAGCCATAATTATCTGTTGCCTTTGCCAGATGAAATGCTCTGTCTTCTACACTAAAGCTTTACCATGCCTTATCTTTTTTTTTATTTACTTATTCATTCTATGAGCAAGAGAGAGAGAGAAAGAGAGAGAACCCTCAATAGGGTCTTTTTTTTTTTTTTAAGAGATTTTTGCTTTAGGGCATGTGCACTTGCCAGAGCCAGAGACAGAGACAGTAAGAGGGAAAGTGAGAAATCACCCCCTACGGGGAATGACCACACCACAATCCCTTCTTCTCTATTCTCTCAAGATCTTGGGCACACATGGACACATACCCAGTGTGTTTTAAGCCACTGGGTCCGGGACTCAAACTGCAATCATCCATGTGGGAGTTCAGCGATGTAACTGCAA